TGACCAGAATATTTCATTGATTTTTTATGTAAAAGATGTTGCCCATGTCAAGGTGTGACATCCGTCTTGTGTTTACATTACTGCCCAGAGACAGTACACTGCAGTACTATAAAAATGCATACACCTCTGAAATAACTATCTTTACATTATAATTGTTTGAAGCTACCCATGTTTCTTTCATGTTATTTGCAAATGTCTGTTTAGAGAAACAATGAAGTTCAAATCAAATCATATATTTTTCTGCCGTAACCTACTTAATAAAACTCTTCGCTCATATATATATATATGTGTATTAACTATTACTGGCCAAACGCCTATAGACCATATTTATTTGCTAACCAGTAGAAACGGTCTTTAACCTTAAACATGCTAGGCCAAACGCCCCCCCCCCTTGTAGTTTTTTGTCCTAGCACTCTCATTTTTGACACTATCATCGTGAAATTTTGTGACTTAATGAAAAGAAAATTTTTCATTATTTTTGGCATTTTTTTCAACCTTCCCTAGCACATGGTTTAACGAGTAACGGGGTATTACGAGTAATGTGGTTTAATGAGTAATGTGGTATAACGAGTAATGTGGTATAACAAATAACGTGGTATAACGAGTAACGAACTTTAAAAAAAAGTCGTCCCCATTATTTGAATATAAAAATATAAAATGTTCAACCGTTTTGACGTTTATAGGATACAAACGGAAAGGCAGACAGACAGATTAGTAAAGTATATTTATAATATTAAAGATAGATTAAAAATAGAGAATAAAGCTATATTTTTTTAATACAAAATATCAAGGAAAGGCCTTAATTGTAACAAAAGAAATACACATCACTATTAAATTGTAAAAAAAAGGCTGAACTTGAAAAACGGGACACAGTCATTATGAGACTTTTAGTAATAATAAACCAATTGAATGAAATAAGCGATTTATCATCCAAATATTTAATTACTTTTTTATCCAAAAATTCCATTTAAAAATTGTGCTATTATTTTTAAGCATTGACACGAAAATAAAAAGTTCTCATTTTTATTTAATAACATTGATAAAAAAGATTATTCGAATATATGAACCTTATTTAAATATAGAAATCTTATTCAAATATATAAACCTTACTGAAATATATAATTCTCATTAAATACATAAACCTTATTCAAATATATAAACTTTATTCAAAAATAATGTAATATGAATTTTAAGCACTGACACGAAAATAAGAAAAGTTCAATTTTTTTATTTAATAACATTGACAAAAAACGGTTATTGAAACAAATAAATCTTATTCAAATACATAAACCTTACTCAAATATATAAACGTTATTCAAATATATAAACCTTATTTTAATACATAAACCTTATTCAAATACTTAAACCTTATTCAAATATCTTATTCAAATATATAAATCTTAATCAAATACATAAACCTTAATCAAGATTCATTCTGTAAAAAAATTACTCACTTGTTATTAAAGTCGCAAAAAGGGTTAAAATTAAGAAGGAGGATGGGATAAAAAACATGCTTACAAAGTTAACATATTTAATTATCTCATCTTTATATATTTTGCTGTCTATTGAGTCCAATAAACGTCAAAATGGCTGAAACGATCAGGCCCATTTTTTTTCTGTAACTTACATGACCCAATTGGAAGGGTTAATAGATGGTCTAGAATGAAAAACTTTGCCTGGAACAACTGTCAAATTTTTTTTTAAATGCGCCAATTGGACTATAAAATTCAAGTTTGAATTAAAGAGAAAAATTTGTGTGTGTCACAGTAATCTGCAGTAAGTAGACCGAATATGAAGTGCGTATTAGTGGAGAGTGGAGTAGGATTAAAGTGCAATTTAAAAAGCAATATTCAGTGGAAGACGACTATCGGCCTCCAGAAGAGTTCCACAACCAAGACTAGGGAACAAGACGGAGCTTCTAGCATTCTATTAGTATTATAATTTAATATAGTTTGAACCAATTGTTCTTGTTAAACAAAAATATATACTGGCATAAGTTATCGCCATGTATTATCCGTCCTCACAACCTCTATATATTGTTAGTAAAACGGAGGCAAAAAAACTTTGCATCATAGTTCTTTTTAAAATGATCTATTTATATTTAAAAATTAATATCCTTCTGGGGATCCATGTTGTAAAATTTAGTTTCATGTTACATTGCATAATTAATTTGTTTACAAAATGTTTGCTGGCTAAAATTATTCACCAAAAGCACTCAATTGACACTTTTTTAGCCAAATATGATTTTTGAACCTCACTGTAAGCCATGACTAATGACAGGTGTTTTCTAATCCGCTATATAATTCACGGCATGGAACTAAGAAGTCAGAAGCCTAAAAGATCTCAGCTAGGTAGGTTTTTTTTAACAAACTACTTTGATTATTTTTACTCGCCAAAATTGTCTTAGATGTAAGATTGTAGAGATCGATGTCAAATTCAATTCTGATGATAACTCCGCTCATTTTGCATAAGCATTTCTTTCAGAAATAAAAACACTTATGCCTATAGTAGTAGTGTGCATTGATGGCAATATCGTTTTCTTGAAAAATGCTTTTTGGACTTTTGAACACACACATATATTCTATATACTATAAACTTGTGAAGGTTTTTTGTTCGTTTTTCACATTTCTTCTCTCAGCTGGTTTTAAAATTTGGGCATAGTGACATGGAAAGCAAATGTTCAGAATGAACAATTTATAAATTGGTAAAACTCCTTATAGATTTGTGTTGAACCTTTGTTCTTATCCTTATTCTTGTTCTTATGTCAAAATAAATAAGTGAAAAAATAAAGGAGAAAAAAATTTAATAAAATAAACATCTTATCTCTTATACATCTTAACTTAACTTAACTTTAGTATTGTACCTAAAATGTTCATGACTTAATTGAGTTTGATCAGAACTTATAATAATTTGTTCTGTTTACATTTTGTGTCAGAAGAGGGGGGGGGGGGGATTTTGTCCCCTATACTGGACATATATTTAAAGTTTTAAAGCCACCGATATCTTGATCGTTGTTGACTAAGCTTTTTATACGATTAGATATCGTTCGTAATTCTGGGCATCCATAAACCTTCCCTTTTACCATTAAAAAATTTGGACCCCATCGGTTCAGCCGTTTTGATATTTATTTGATACATACAAACAGACAAGCAAAGTATGTATGACTTGATTATTGGCGCTTCGCGCCTAACTTTTATCTTTATTTTTAATTGTTGCACAATATTTCTGCATTTCTATACGATAAATAACAATAATAACAAATTTTGCAGATTTAAAATTTTTTCGCATGGACTTTCTCAATTTTACGAATATCCAACATTTTTGGAGAACATTTTTTGTAATTCTTAGCATCCACAAATCTCAAAAACCTTCCATGGGGTCTTGTGAGGTCCAAAAATAAAGTTGAGCTTTATCAGTTCAGCCGTTTGACGTTTATTGAATGCAAACAACCAACAAACAAACAAACACCCAGACACCCATTCAAAGTATACAGATGATAAATGTTGATTGTTGACTTTATCACAATTATTTTTCTTACCCCTTTTAAAAAATTTCCTAGTGGTTCATTCTGCCTTAAATGTTTTTGTTCTTCTCAATGATTATTGTAATTTATTGCATATTTTAACGGACGCTTTGCCCGGGAACTAACCTTACTTTAAAAGATTCAGCCCAGTCAACTTAAAACTTTGAAACCAAAAAAAAATTGAGGCAAATCGGTGAAGGGGTTTCTGATTTCAGGGATCAAATTTAATGAATTTGAGCTTTGTCGCTGAAATATCAACTGCCTGTTAAAATTTGAACCACCCATTCATAGTAAGGTAGTTGAACTAAGTATACAGTGTTGTAATGACTTCTTTCGGATTCATTTGAGACATATTAAACTTTTTAAAAACTGTAAATCCTGAGTTTGAGCGCAAATTCACCCAAAGTAGGAGTTTTGAACGTCGAATTTGCGCTCAAACTCAGGATTTACAGATCTTTAAAAAGTTTAATATGTCTTAAATGAATCCGAAAGAATGTTTCCACAACACTGCATACTCAGTTCAACTACCTTACATAGCTGGTCACTCCCTTTAAGGAAGGATTCAAATTTGAATCAACGGAAGGCAGTTCAAATTCATTAAATTTGGTCAACGGACAAAGAAACCTCCTAACAAACAAACAAACAAACAGAGATTAATACAAAACCCTTTGGCATAATTTCATTGCAAAGGAATTGAGTCTTTGTAACAAAATCAAATATTTAAACCCCAATATCTTAAGAACCCAATGTTGTAAACCTTTGATATTTCAAACTCTGATTATTTGATTTAACAGAATTCATAGTTTGAAATATCTAAGGTCTACAACATTTGGTTCCAAAGATATAGTGATTAGAAAATCAGAGTTTGTGACAAAGACTCAATTCCTTTNCATCGACGTCATATCCTGTTCATTTCAACTATTTTTATGTCAAATTTGAACTATTTTTTGTCTATTTGAACTATTTTTATGTCCATTTGAACTATTTTATTTCAATTTGAACTATTTTTATGTCCATTTAAACTACTTTTATGTCCATTTGAACGATTTTTTGTCCATTTGAACTATTTTTTTTGTTCATTTCAACTATTTTTTTGTTTTTTGTTCATTTGAACTATTTTTATGTTCATTCGAACTATTTTATGTCCATTTGAACTATTGTTTTATTCATTTCAACTATTTTTATGTCCATTTGCACTATTTTTATGTTCATTTGAACTATTCTTTTGTTTATTTCATGTATAATATTAATAGTTCAAATAAACAATAATTCAAATGAACTGAAAATAGTTCAAATGAGCATTAAATAAACTCGTTTGAGCTATTGTTCATTTCAACTATTCACGTGGTACCACGTGCAGTAGTTCAAACGAACAATAGTTCAAATAGGAGTAGTTCAAATGGGATAGCATCAGAGCTCCTGATAGGGATACATTTAACTACATGGTCGGGATGAATTTAACTACATTTTTAGAGCGCTCCTGATGGAGATACATTTAACTACCATAAGACTCTGGAACCTTCCATCCTCGGCTTACCGGAAAAATGTGCTGACTCTTGTATGTACACCAAACATGGGGACACATCAGGTAATTCTTAGTCAATTATTCTTTCAAAAGGGATTTTAAATATAATTTCAAGTGACCATCCGTGACCCTCAATTGATATCCGTTTCACAATGGTATCCTTTAAAGCTTTGTCGGATGAAGTATCAATAAGATATCCATGTTATGGTTTCTGACATTTTTTTGTGAATTCTCTGCAAAAGTGACTTGATTTTTTGATTATTTATTTAAATTAGCCATTCATTTGTATTTAAGGAATTCTTTACTGTTTTGGAGAGGGTCCAATGACATATGAGTGTACTGATGAAAGCAATGATCCGACCAATACTGCTGAGAGTTCTGATGTAACAACCACCGGAAAGGCTGATGGAATCACTGACATAAACACTGGTGTCAAATGTGGTGTAACTAAGGTTGGCACAAGAATTGTGGGAGGCTTAGAAACACCGGTGAATATGTACCCTTAGATGGTTATGATGGCTGATCCTCAGGGAATATACTACGGATGTGGAGCTACCCTAGTTTCAGCAGAGTGGGTTGTAACAGCTGCTCATTGTATTATTAGAGATGGACAAGACCAGGCACTCACAGCAGACGAAATATCTGTTGTTCTTGGAGAGCATGATTTAATCTCAACTACAGAAACACAGATCAGGAAGCAGTTTTTTGTTGAGAAGATTATTACACATCCAGGATATGTAAACAATACACATAAAGATGACATTGCTCTTCTCAAGCTCAAAACAAAGGCTGATCTGAAGATTTATACTCCAGCATGTTTACCACCTTCTGGGACATCGTTTGTTGGGAAAACTGGAACAGTTTATGGTTGGGGTAGAACATCGCTAGGTGGACAGATCTCTACTAAGCTATTGGAAGTTAACCAAGATGTTGTCAGCATTGCTACTTGTAAAACTGTTTATCTTAATAAGATTCTTGATGGTATGCTGTGTGCAGGAGGAGTACTAGGACAGGATTCTTGTCAAGGAGACAGTGGAGGTCCGTTCACAGTTCCTGATGCAACCAACATTCATTCATTGGCAGGAGTTGTCAGTTGGGGTTATGGTTGTGCACTGCCTGATATTTATGGAATATATTCTGATGTGGCCTACTACAATGCCTGGCTTAAAGAACAGTTTGCTGCTAATGGTGGAATAACACTAACCTAATCAAATATCAATAACTCAAATTAGAAAACAAAAGTTTATTTAATATTTTCAAAATTCAGTTTTTAATGTATTTCCACAATAAAAAAACACTAGCTCATTATTTGGTTCAACATTTCATACATTTCAAATAGTTTTAAAACGAGCTTAAAAGACATGATTGATGAACCACTTCTTGCTAGAAAGAAAATTATGTTTAATCCATGTTTAAAAACAATCAAGGGTTACATCCACGTGGGTTCACCTATGTGTCCTGATTTGCATAGCTTTCAAGCGGTTCAATTATAATCCAACAATCATGTATTTGCACTTAGATAAAGCACATAAAAACTTTTTTTTCTGTTTGTAATTTGTTTCTTAAAATTTATATTGTTAATAAATGGCTGCAAACATAATATGCTTTGGATTACAAGGAGAGAGCAAATAGAGGAAGTATAGATTATTGTTACTTTTTTCTCCAAAAACACAAATACAAGTACACATTTTAAGTTTTATGTGACAAAATGATGATTTGTGGAAGGAACAATCAAGCCATAAATAGCTGTCTTTAATGATTGACTCTAGACTTCAGGGGGGTCCAGAGACGGTCATACAGGAGATGAAGGAGGGAGGGGTGGCTGCTCTCAGGGTTTTGGAATTGCTTCCAGGGTTTTGGAGTGCTCCCAGGGTTTTGGAGTTAAATGGGAAAATTTATCGGACCTTTTATGAAAAGTCCTTTAAGAAGGGTACTGTAAGAACAAAAATTGAAAAAATGGCTCTGCTACCCCTCTTCAACTATCTTTAATCGGATTTTTGCAGAAATAAAAAATCTCAAATTTCAGTCCAAGAAGCCTGTGGCGATCATATAGTTTTGATTAGCCAAACTGAAAACAATTATTTTGACTTAAACATTAAAGATTATTGGTAAATGTAAAAAAAAAAAAACTTTTTTAGCAAGATATGTAGCAAAAAGCACGTAAACATAATATTCTGTAAACTTGCAGTACGTTGTAAATCATAAATGTAGTTGAACTGAGTATGCAGTGTTGTGGAAAACTTCTTTCGGATTCATTTGAGACATATATATAAAACTTTTTAAAGATCTGTAAATCCTGAGTTTGAGCCCAAATTCGACATTCAAAACTCCTACTTTGGGGGTGGAAACTAAATCAGAATTAGTTTTTCTTAAATTATTAAATAATGACAACGAAAAATTAAGTAAAAATTATACAGTAATCTAATTGGATGGTTAGGAACATATTTCTCAAAAGAAATTTGTCAATAAATCAATGCTAAAATTGATTATTTCGTTTTCATTATTATATTGAATTTCTAATTTTCTTTGAATGTATTCGCAGATTTCTTAAAATTCTTTAGATGTCGTCTTTTCAATAATAATTCTAGAAAATCTGCGAAAATCTTTGTGAATAATGAGGAACCAGAATAATGCGATAATAGAAACTAATAATTGAACAAGATTACTTCTTTTTGATGATAAGATTAATTTGTAGAACTTTTTTACATTTTATGTCGTCGTTATTGAATAAAAAAAAAAAACTAAATCCGAAAACGTTTCCACCCCCGAAGTAGGAGTTTTGAGCATCGAATTTGTGCTCAAACTCAGGATTGACAGATCTTTAAAAAGTGGTATATGTCTCAAAAGAATCCGAAAGAAGGTTTCCACAACACTGCATACTTAGTTCAACTACCTTACATAGCCGGTCACTCCCTTTAAATAATAATAGGAGCAAACGTAAGTTTCTTAGGCTCCTCTGGGATATCGTTGTTTTCAGATTTGTTGTGTATGTAATGAATCTAGACCCGTTGAAATCTCCGAAAACTTGACTCTTATCCTAATGTCAATCTCTCTGACTCTATATCTAGCCAAAACTCAAGGCTCTGTTAACGTCTGTCTAAATCGACTATTGCTATCATGCTACTTTATTAATACAGGTAAATAGAACTGACCGGAATGGCCGGTCAGGGTCAATATGAAACATAGATAGGATAGATAAACGAACATAGATAATAAAGATATTAATAGCATGATTACATAATTCATTACATGTATTTGCTGAATATGATCCGTTTAAACCTACTATTTCCATACAAAATTTCATATATACATCCTTTCGTATAAATTTGACACAGTTTTTTTTTCTCGAGACAGGAACATCAGATAGAACTCTTATATATCTCGATCAACTCCTAAAATGCTTAGGTTTCAGCCTATACAACCTTTTAGTTTTTTCTTTACAGTCCCTTTAAGAAAACAAGCATTTATCCAATTTTAGAAAGGAATTTATACACAATAGTGTTATTACATATACAAATCGCATAAAAAACGATCACAAATTGTTTTAAAAAACGATCGTTATTCGTTTTCTAAAAGTTCAAAACGAGTGGGTGGTTTTTAAATTCGAAAACGATAGAAAACGACACAAAAACGATCGTTTCACGATCGTTTAACGATAGTTTTCAAAAACGTTTATATATACCATGTTTTATACAGTTAAAGCGCGTCGTATGTGACACATTTTTGTTCACCTGAAGAACTCAAAAAGGGTCAAAATTTCGACTGAAGACTAAAAACTAGATTTTAACTTATCACACATTATAGTTTATTAAGATAGATATTTTTCATTATGTTTTCTTTCCCTTAAGTGCTATTCATTAAGTCTACTACAGTCAACAAGAATGGGTTCACACCCTTTGCTAATGGTAGATGTCAAAGTCTACTACAGTCAACAAGAATGGGTTCACACCCTTTGCTAATGGTAGATGTCAAAGTCTAATACAGTCAACAAGAATGGGTTCACACCCTCTGCTAATGGTGGATGTCAAAGTCTACTACAGTCAACGAGAATACATTGCTACTTTTGTTTAATCAATATGTAATTATTAGTTCAATGAATGCATTCCTGAAAATGTTTTGATTATTTGAGTGTGACTAATTAACTACTGTGCTGCACAATAAATATATATTTAGTTGAGTTTTCAATATGTATACTTTGTTTCAACAAATACGATCAAAACAAAATTATCAAACATTATATTTTCATTTGGCTCATAGTCATAATAAATTTTCTTTTGTGTTTTATTTTAAGCTGAACCATCAAACATTATTATTTTGTATTTTGTGTTTGAAAATAAATACTATAACTATAAATTAAGAAGCTATTTCCATAAAAACAAAAAAATGAAGTTATAAGATGTAGAGATTTGAGTTAAACATACATAAATAAATGTATTTACACAGGGAAAGTAAAGGATATATAAATGCCTGTAAAGTTCAAGAAAAGCTCATGAACATGAAAATCTTCAGTTTTCCCAAAAGTAAAATTCGAAAAAAAATCCCCTACAAGCTTGAGGAAGAGTACAAACAGCTTTTCCTAAACCTGAGGCCAAATTTAAAGAATTTGAGCCACGTCTTAAATTTAAGCCGCGGCTCAAATATGGTTGGGATAACTTAAAATTGAATGCAATTTTTCAAGATTTAAGCTCGCGCTCAATTAAAACCGGTTTTTAGGGGATTTGAGATGCGGTTTAAATTCATAAAATTCGGACACGGACAATATTTATATATAATTTCAATTTGTCTTTTGCTGTACGATAGTCAATGGTTTATTAGAGTGATTAATCTAATAAAAGAAGGGAAGAGAACAAGCTTCTCAAATTATAAAAAAATTAATTTAAATTTTAAACCCTTTCATTTCACAAAACGGGATAGAAATAAAAATTTTAAGATAATTTTATTTTATTTTGAAGAAATGATAATCCTTTATTCAAAATATTGGTAACAAAAATATATTTTATGCCAATTTTCTTCCCTTTTTTCCGTTTTTTCTTTCATTTTTCGTTTTTTTCTTGCGCCTCCCCCATAATTACAGGCCTGAATGATCAGAAAAAGCTTTAAAGAGTACGGCATGTGAACCAAGCAATATTGTTATCTTTGCATGGAGGGTCACTTGAAATAACGCTTATACAGTCCTTTTAAGAATTGGGGTTAAATCAAAACAGAATACCAAATTTTTAATAAATTATGCAGCCGGAAAAATAAAGCGATTAGCTGCAGGGGTATAATTTTGGTGAAGGTTATGGCGAAACATTTCTCAAATAAACCATGGGTATTGGGTAAACATGGGCCAAGCCAAGGCCGTATACATGGGGGGGGGGGGGGGGGGGG